CCTCAAGTCAGTGCAACACTTACTCGATGAGGTGGTTAATGTAAAAAAGGCTTTGAAGCAGCCTCAATCCAACAAATGTTCCGATGACTCCAAGGAGAGTGATAGGAGGCCGAGTAGCTGTTCTATGCTTCCCTCATCAAATGAGAAGCCACCGGATCCTACTGAATCTACTGCCGACTCCACTTCTGAGCTATCGCCTGTAGAACGGCAGGACTTACTAAACAAAAAGACTAAGCTTCTGTCCATGCTGGAAGAGGTAGGTTCAATCCGTCCATACTTGTGCTAATTCTATGCTACATTCATTTTTATCTAATGCTTGTATGATTTTGTAATGGAATCCCTGGATTATTACCAAAGATCTCTGATTAATGTATTTAGTACATAGTCTAAAAGGATGTACTGACAGAATAAATGAAATTAGCATTTTCATTAAAATGTCTTGGAGCCGGACATGCTCCTGAGGAAAGAAACCCTTTTTATGTTGAGCTTCATTAAATTTTTTAGATCAGAAATGGTAGCATGTGAGAGAAGTTTCTAAGGCAAAGATACGGTGTTTCATGTAACTGGTTTGGTAGCTGGTATGATTCAGCTGGAGATACGAGAGGGAAAATGAAGGATTGCAAGATAAATTACATCAAGTTCATAATAGCTCCTCCTTGATTCCTTTGTTTTGTGAAGGATTTGTGTTTACGCTTTTTGGCTTTCTATATCCTCAGCCATCATATGGACGGACCTGTTGTCTCTATGAACTTTTACTTTACTAAGGTTTATGACCCTTGTTGAAAGGTTGATTGTACATTTCTGTAGGTAGACAGAAATTACAAACAGTATTACCATCAAATGCAAATTGTGGTGTTATATTTTGACACGGTGGCTGGTCATGGGGCAGCTAAATCATATACAGCACTCGCCCTCCAAACAATTTCTCGTCACTTTCGCTGTTTGCGCGATGCAATCAGTGGCCATATAGAAGTTATCATGAAAAGGCTTGGGGAGCAAGGTACATCACCAAATGGTCAAGGAGGTATACCACGTCTCCGTTATGTAGATCATCAGACCAGACAACAGAGGGCTCTCCAGCAGCTTGGTGTGATGCGACATGCTTGGAGGCCTCAAAGGGGGCTCCCTGAGAGCTCTGTTTCAGTCCTTCGAGCTTGGCTCTTTGAGCACTTCCTTCATCCGTATGTTACTGGATACTTGCTTTCCAAATAATATTTGTTCATTTTGAAAAAAGGATACCTCATTAATTCTTTCTGAATTTGTTTTTTTCACCAGCTACCCGAGTGATTCAGAGAAAATCATGTTAGCGAGGCAGGCAGGCTTGACCAGAAGCCAGGTAGAGATCCTGTTATCTAGCAGATTACACTTCTGTAAATATAAATTTTTAGTGCTTCAGAACATTTTCATTTTAGGAAACTTTAGTGGAGCGTCTCTTTGTGAGAGTGGTCATTCTTTAACCCCCTCTGATATGAACCCTTCTTTCTCTTATCTTATCTTATGGCACGATCAATTTCCTATGTAAATCAGGTCGCGAACTGGTTTATTAATGCGCGGGTGCGTCTTTGGAAGCCCATGGTCGAGGACATGTACAAAGAAGAATTCGGTGATTCAGAGACAAACTCCAAATCTTCTTTGGACGAAACAACCAAAGCCCATGGAGATAAATCAGGCAATCACTTGACATCTGAGAATAGGCTACGTGAGTTGTATGAGAGTGTGACATCTACAGCTGCTGATATTTCCCAGCCAGGGCAAGCCCATGACATAAAATCTAGTCGTATTCTTGAATTAGAAATGAAAGAACCTATGGCGAAAACAGTCATTGAGAATGGTTCTCAGGGACCCAATGTGGCAGAATATGATATTATGAAATTTCCACGGGACCGAAGGTTGAATATAGATGATGACCATAACTTCTCTCCACATGGGAATATTCCGTGTGGCCAAAATGGTGATGGAAATCTTATGTCTGCTGCTGCTACATATGATGTATCACACTTGAATGGATTTGCAGTAGGCAGCCAGATGTCTCTTGCTTTGGGATTGCAAAGTAATGACAGTGATTCATTTCCCACGTTTGATGGGGCGCATATGAGAGGTAACACTATATCAGCTTCTTCTGTGGGGCATAATGAGGTGGATTATCACTGCATGGAAACAGGAAAGCAACAAGACAGGATTGCCAATTCCCATCGGTTACATGATTTTGTGGTTTAAGAGAATCCTTCTAGCTTTACGAGGGAGTTTCATCAATCCTGCCAAGAGAAGGATTGATGCAGTTTTGGATAACATAAAGCAGAAGAAAACAAACTCAGTGAAATTGGTTTGCTATTTATTCAAGCCCCGTGCTCTTGGTTTGAATAGAAGAAAACCAACACCCTTACAGTCACAGACATAGACGTAATATAAGGGCATGGTGCCTGCTTGTAATATACGTACAGATTACAGGGATTGTAGATATATCTGTGCATATACAATAAGATTTTTGTGATCTTTTGTGCTCTTAAGGAATTTCTACAAGCTCTCCCTAATTGTGACACTGATGTATCATTTCATTCCTAATTCTGAAATAAATGTGATTTGCGAATTAGTTCGAGTTTCTGTGAGATGTTTTAATGGATGTCAATCCTTACAACATCTAGCGATAACTTCGCTCTCTTTTCGTATTTTTCGTTATATTGTTGCAGAATAGTATCACGCAAAGCATCCTTTCACCCCAAACCTGAAGTTTTGCTTAACCAAATTTCAGCAACATAAAAATTAACTGAACTTTCTCTGCTCTTTCCTTCTTGTTTCGCGTCTTGTCTTGATCTCAGGCAGCTAATTTACTTGGTTGTGGTCCCAAAATCCAAATCTGTGCTTGCTGCTATCTGGTTTCTTGGATTCTGTCGTCTTATTCCTCTAGTCTTTTTGCTGCAGACGGAAAGTAAAAACAACGAAAGAATACAAAAATTTTAGTGAGTGAAAGGACTTCAGATGTGAATCTTAAATTCACTTGTTTTATTTTCTTTAAAATAACCATTCTCAATTAATTCCTCTTTTTTAAGAGATTTACAAAGTTTTAAATATACCAGAAATCCTACCTCAAATAAAAAACAAAATAAAAATTATAAATTATAAAAGAAAGAAGTATGAAATCTGAAAATAACAATGAAAATCAGAAAAATTGTTAAATCAAGATCCCAAATCGAGATTTTCAGAATTAAAGAAAAATGAGCTTTGAAAATACTTATAAAAATTTGAGTATGACTCAATAGTTAGATTAATAGTTATGATTATTTTGAACCGCTATTCTGGCTTAACGCGAATAAATCTCTCTTGAACTTCAACTTTTCTCACTAATTTATAAATATATCTCCTAGCCCATTTATATAATCTGTTTGTTATAACTCCTGTCTAATTATAGCAGTATCCTTAACTGTCTAAAATCACCGGTATTGCAAGTCTAATTACTTCACTTTTTCAGTCGTTTAATTGTCTTTTAATGAACATGTTGGTTAATTCATAGAGACTGCTTCCTTCCCATGTCCTTTACCTTGTATCTTTTTGTCTGCTGGTCACTATCTTACATGCTTCCTTTTTAATTCTGATAGATGCTTGAACCTCATTGCCATACCATGTGTTTTTAGCATATCACTTTCCTTAAAGAGCTTGAGAGTGCCATTATTCGAAGTACGATATACCAATACCTATCACTCCTTTAAATCATGAACCACGTCTCTTTACTATGGAAATCCTCACTTTCTACGCAAGTTTCTGTTTCTCGTTATTTAGATTTCTGGGCTCCCCACCCTTCATCTGATCAATTTTTTCAGGCCATGATGGCCACCAACTAATCAGTTAAATTTTAAAACTAGGCACTTCAAAAATTGGGTTTATTAATTCCTGCGTGTGGCAACGGCCTACAGAAGTGCTGTAAAGCTGACAGAACTTATACTTTAAAATTTGCTGGAATAATTCAGATAATGCAGACACTTTAATCATATGAGTGTGGGCCTTTCAGCTCCAAGGTAAACAACAATGTTAGGAAACCAGAGAGCGACAACTGGAGGAGGCCAAAGGAACAAAGATAGCAGTCATTAATAAAGCATCCAAAGGACTATCCCAAAGAATACACCTAGAAACAGTCTAATCAGCACATGGAAATCTATATCAGATAATAATATAAATTATATTTAGGTTGAGGTAATTTTATGATATGAAGTAGAGTCGAATCTCACCATTCTATTATCTCTAATTAAAACTATAATTTCAATAGAAAATAGTGTGGATTTATGCAAATTTAAAGCCTAAAGATAGCATAAGTTTTTGGATAAAGAGAACACAGATGTAATTTTTATTTCTCACTTGCTCTTGAAAGATTGTGATATTCAGATTCAGTGTCCTTTCAACATCTCTATGATTGTAGCACCTAACAGGAAAAAGCTAGATATTCCTATATGGTCACAGTCTCAGAAACAGGCAATCTTAAAACTGGGAGTGTGCAAAAGATAGCCAACTTTTTCTCTTTTACAGATGACAACAGTCCAGTGAACAGAACAATTGTTACATATCAAAGAACTCTCTTCCTTGTGACAAGCTAGAGAGAGATAATTACACTATTTTTAGCTGACAGTACTTTTGAGTCTCCCAAAGAAATGTAACTGCAAGCGTTAAAGCTGAAGGATTGATGCTTTTGCTTTTGGGTTTGTACACGAAGTAAGGGGTGGGGGGACCATCGCCTGCCATCAACTTCTGCATCTTTACTCACCCAAGTAGCTTCTCTTCGAGGGTTGTCTCTTAGCATTATAGCTTTCAGGTGGTTACATTTAGACCTGCTCATTTTTCACAGAGAGAGAGAGGGTCTTCACTTTCTTCTGGGAATTGTTATGCTCTAAGCAAAAGAATATAGGCGCTCACAGATTGGTGGAATTCAATTTTTTTTATGCTTATTACAGTTAACAGAACATTTTAGACTTCAGGGTAGGAGTTAGTTGGCAAAGACTAATTAACAGAACATTAGTTTGGGTTCTGATTCTTTCTTCGTTTATACCATATTGACAAATCATGTTTTAGAATCTTCTCTTAAGTTGCAAATTAATACCTTTGTGCCTTCGCACTTTAATGGTACCTATGGGTTCACAAGACTCACCCCCAAATTCAGCTTCTGGCATGCTACACCAATTCATTATCTCAGACTCCATTGCTAGTCAAAACCAATTTCAAAGTCAGAATTTCAGCGTTTTCGGTCCAGACTTGCGAGGCAGCAACACATTTTCTCAGTCTCATGGTGTATTGCCAAGCATAAAGTCTCTCGAGGAAAGAATGTCTAGGTCAATAGACCTAGTTCAAGTCCCCTTGGCAGTTCAAGAATCTGAGATTAGCCATTCCAGACACTTAATGGATCTTCTTGGAGCGGCAAATGAGACCAATCATCAAGCTCAAAGGTTATCACTGTCTCTTGGTTCTCAGATGCTTGTTCCCCAATTTCAGTACAGGCAGAGATCCTTTAATTCGGATCTCATGAGTCCTAGTTACTTAGTTCCTAGAGAAGAAGTAAGGGAAGCATATAATCTTGGAGGTGAACAAGCAAACGACGGCTATTCTCTCACTGGTAATGGATTTCCTCAATCATCAACCTCATTAAGTAGACCTTCTACTTCTTACGGAACAGAATCTTTTGCGGTTGCTATAGGGAATTCAAGGTATTTAAAGCCTGCTCAGTCTCTGCTAGAAGAAATTGTGCATGTAAGTTGCCGGGCAGTTGAAATTAGCAATGAAAAGTACGTTGGGAAATTATTTCCTTGTGGCCAAAGAGGATCTCTAAGACTTTCTTCTGAATTAAAAGTAGAACGGTGGGATATGGGGCTTGTTCAAGCCGAGAAACATGAACTCCAGCTTACAATAGCAAAGCTTATAGCATTGTTGAAGGAGGTAAGTCCAAAACTCCACACTGTATTGAGTTTATATGTTCTGTGTCAGCAGGCTAACTTTGATCGCGCCCGAACTCGAAAACTGATGAGATATTATGTTGATTTCAGGTAGAGGGAAGATATGAGAAATACTATCATCAAATGGAAGAAGTGGTATCATCATTTGAGGAAATAGCTGGTTTAGGAGCGGCCAAATCCTACACAGCTCTTGCGCTCCAAGCCATGTCCAAGCATTTCTGCAACTTGAGAGATGCCATAGTGTCCCAAATCGATGAGACAAAAAGAAAATTCTCTCGAGATTTACCAAAAATCAGCACAGAAATGTCACAACTTAGCTTGTTTGATAAAGAGACCAAACATAACCGGATATCTCTTCGACAGCTTGGAATGATGCAAAGCCAAAGGCAAGCATGGAGACCCATCAGAGGGTTGCCAGAGACTTCTGTAACCATCCTTCGCTCTTGGCTTTTTGAACACTTCTTGCACCCGTAAGTGCTAGCGAAACCCTATGGTGATCATACTCTTATTAAAACTGTGATTTACCCACTTCATTTGTCACACACAGGTATCCAAATGATTATGAGAAACTAATGTTAGCATCGCAGACAGGCTTGACAAAGAATCAAGTAAGTTTTTAATCTTTCATTAACATGTTACCTTTCTTTATAGTTTAGCTTAACAGCGATAAAGTTGTGGGCAATTCATTGTTGTTTTAGGTATCAAACTGGTTTATAAATGCTCGAGTCCGGCTATGGAAGCCTATGATAGAAGAAATGTACAAAGAGGAGTTTGCAGATCACTCAGAGGACTGAAGGAAAAGGTTGATAGCTAAGTCAGTTCCTTCTTCAAGCTGCGTTTCGTTGTATCTTTTATGCAATAGGAAATTAACGTCCTCTTTAATCATTCATCCTTGAAAATCTGAGAACAGTATAGACCTGTGATTTCCAGGAAAAGCACAAATTGCCATGGGAGCGGATCCTCCGCAACTAAGCTGTTTCAACTTTTGATGTTTATTTCCATCACTGTTTAAAAAATTTGGTGAGAGCAACCTGTCCAAGCTAGCAAATGCTAAGCAGCTTGATAGGCATTGATTACTGCAGTACTAGGACACCTAGGAATCTTGTCAGTATCATACGTGATGGCCAATGCATGTATGTAACTTGGATTATTTGGGATCGCTCTCAAGACTGAAACGGATAAAACATTGGCATTAGTAAAAACAAAAAAAAGTTGTCACATCTTGTTGTCGGCTTGTCTTCTTTCCAACAAAACGTTCCCAGCATATATATATATATATATATATATATATATATAACACTGTGTTTGAGCTTCTAAAATCTGTTACAAAACCTGGACCGCACTATTAGGGTTTGGAACGATTGACAAAAAAATAAAATAAAAAATTGATTTAGTTTCAGTAAAAAATCTAAAATAATAAATAATTTGATTGATTTGATATAATTCGGTCAAAATCTTACCGAAAAACCCTTAAAAACCAAGATTTTTATCATAACAAATCATCTTAATTTTATTTTTTTAATTTTTCTTGACACATTACTCGCGATATATCAGGTTAGGTTTCAAAACCATGCATGCGTATCAGACATCTTTGTGAAAAAGAAAAAGAAAAAAGAAAAACCGTAGTAATACAACCAGACATGCCCTTGCTAACTAAAACGCAAATTCATATCTTTCTTTCTTTCTTTTCAATTATCTGCAGATCCAGAAGGCGTTGAGGAGTACTCCCCCATGAGTTGTTCAAGAAATCAAAGCGTATATTGGAGTAGAATTGAATTAGTTGTTAGCGGTGTTCTTTTCATTTTCTTTAATTGTGATCTTTTGCTTCTGCTGTTAATTCTTATTAGGAGTTCTAATTTGTACACATATTGTGGCAGAATGTAGTTGAATTTTCCCTGACTTGGAATGGTTTTGAAATTAATCTAATATGTTGGATTAGTGATGACAAATATGTGTTTTTTTCTTAATTTTTTAAATTCAAGCTTTAAAATTAATATCCGAGAAGATTTATTAAATCTTTTTAAATGTGCTGAATCAATGTGAAGAATGCGTTTTTAATATTTTTCAGAAAAAAATTTAATTGTCTGCAAGTTGATATATATATATATATATATAAAATCAACATTGGGATAAACAATAATAATAAAAGGATCAAAATAACATATAACTCAGAACTAGGGGCCCAAATACACCATTATCCCATAATATATAACACTCCATGATGTATTTATGAATTTCCCCAACTTTTATAAAACGGCAATACCCCAACTGCCCAGACAGACAGTCCTCTCTCCCTCGCTCTCTGTGCGCGCAAGAAAACAAGAAAGAAACCATGACAAGCAGCTCCGCTTCGTCACGCAAGGTCTCTCTACCAACCTGTACCCTCTCGACAATCTCCGCATATGCTTATTTTATGCCCTAATTTCTATTATTCTGTGATCTTTGACTTTGTGTTCATTTTTAAATTTTTTGACTTCATTCTTGCGTAGGCTTTAAGCAAGATCGCTTGCAACAGGCTGCAAAAAGAGCTTACAGAATGGCAACTCAGTCCTCCTTCAGGTTTCAAGCATAAAGTCACCGATAATCTCCAACGGTACCGTTTCAATCACGATTTTAATTGATATAGCTTTGATTGGGGATTATAAATTTGGTTAATTTGGGATTATTTCTTCTCTAAAAGATGGGTGATTGAAGCGAATGGAGCCGCAGGCACTCTTTATGCTAATGAAACTTATCAGCTTCAAGTCGATTTCCCTGAACATTACCCTATGGAAGCACCTCAGGCCAGTGATTTCTTTTTTTTTTTCCTTCTAATTTTGTGATTTTTTTGCTAATTTTGTGATTTTTGCAAATTTATACGAATTAATTATTTGAAAATGAGTGTGATTAATTATTTTATTTGGTTAAATTGATGACACAGGTGATTTTCGCCCCGCCGGCTCCTCTGCATCCTCACATCTATAGCAACGGACATATCTGTTTAGGTATTACTTAACTCGTAGTAGTAACGTTTATTGACATTGCTCTCCTCCGTGTTAGTTTATTGAATTAAAGCATTTCTTTACCTGTAATTAAGTGTTATGATTATTGACTTAGGTGTTGCCAAAGCTTTTAGTGCAAATTCCCTTAGGTTTTTGCTCTGATTGCAAGGTCCATGATGCGATTTTAAGATTCTTTGAATAAGTGCTTGCAAAGCATTGTCTCAAGGAGATTTTTAAGCGATGGTGGTTCTCGTAGGTGAGTAGGACAGGGCAGTGCGTGCGTCTTGCTTTCTTGACAAATGAGTTTTGTTTGAAACAATGGTGTGCGATGGTAGCTCGTACTATCATCAATGTATGGAAGGTCGGTTGTGGTACCTGGAAACAAAATTTACTCCGTCTATGTATTAGTTAATCTGTCAATTAAATGTTATGTTGGGCAGTAGAAGCTAAAAACAAATGTGAAATATAGAAAGCAAACTTTCAATATGTTTTCTTCTCTGTTGTATTGCTTTCCATCTCAAAAAATTTATCAATTCAATGTTATCATTAGCATTATCTTATTAACCAAGTGGACTATATTTGGATTTTTTTTCTGGTTGCAAATATTATTTATCCGTGTGAAGGAGGGGTAGGGGTTTGTGCATTACTGCCCAAAGATTCGTTGTGCTTTTCCATCTCCAGAAGACAATGAAAATAATGTTATTTGACTTTTCATTTGCTTCCTTCTTGAACCAAGTACATAGTCAGCTGTGCCTGGAACAGATGAATTGTAATATTCTTGTCATTTGTTCTTGGTCTTTGCAGATGCCTGGAACAGATGAATTGTAATATTCTTGTCATTTGTTCTTGGTCTTTGCAGATATACTGTATGATTCATGGTCCCCAGCTATGACTGTTAGTTCTATCTGTATCAGCATTCTGTCTATGTTATCCAGCGCAACCGTGAAGGTTAGGTTCAATTTTGTTGAGAGTTAAAAGCATTTTTTGTTCACTCTACCTTTTCTGTCAAGACTAGTATATAGCAATGCTCATATACACTGTGATGGTTCGCAGCAACGTCCTGCTGATAACGATCGTTATGTGAAGAACTGTAGGAGTGGACGATCTCCCAAGGAAACAAGATGGTGGTTCCATGATGATAAGGTTTGATTCCATTTTGTATTTGTTGTTTGTGTATAACAACAAGGCTACCAGTCCTATTTCTCGTGGATAGTGTGGAATGGGGCCTGGCAAGGCTTGGAGCCCCCAAGGCCCTGGCATTTTTCCTTTTTCCTTGGCCGTGAATCACGTGCCTGATATTTTTACTTTGTATTTGGTGCCTCCCTTATGGGATCGCAGACAATCTATACTAATCAAGGAGAACAAATTATATGGATTCTCCTACTATCACTGTCTTATTAGGAACTAAAAACCACGTTCAGCCAAGGTCATTAGATTTCCAACAGAACCTGCATGTATTCTAATGGCGTCTGATGTATATCATCCAGCAGAAACTATTGGAGATTCTGTGGTATGTATTATCAAGTTAAAAATTTCATATCCTAGAATGGCATGAACACTTTCAGTTGAATGAACATGGAATTTTTAGTTTGAACGGTTGTGTGTGTCATGGTGATTTTAAATTTTAAGCCTTCTATACATGTGGAAGTAAAGGAATGTTGTTGAGCCTGCTGTCTCTGAATAGCCTAGGCGAAAGGGGCTAGCTTTGTGGTTCAAATCACTGTACAAGGTAGGCTTACCAGTGCGTGGGCAAGGTACTTGTTCACATTTATCAGCAAAGGTTGTCCTCGCCTGTTGCCTGAAAAAGAAGGCTTGTTGTCAATGTTTAAAGGTTCTCAAAAGCGTCACCTTTCGATCTTCTCATGCTTCAAGTTTTTATGCCTTTGACAAGGCTCGTCACTTGAAAAAGAAAGGCACTCATCAAGCTCCGTTAAATAATATTCACTGCGGTTGCCCCCATTTCTAATAATAACGACACTCTTGTCAGTCCAATCATCGTTTTTATTTTTTTAATATCTATAAATGCTTCAATGAATTATTTTCCCTACATGTTCGGAAAAATTAATTCTATTGTGATACTCTATTTTCTTGAATTCGAAATGAGATGACAAGAATGTGATATCGCTTTCAAAGATGGATGGCAGATGAGCTCATGCTTAGGCAGAGTGTACATAGCGTACTGTTTTGAGGAAGCCTGCATTATTGCTTCTTCCTTCCAAATTGCAAGTGGGGACAAAGTCTGTGCCCCTAGACATCCTCCTCTCTTTAAGGAGGAGTTTGATTTGTTGGTTATTGGATCAAGTTGCCAAATGGATTATATAAACCTATTATAACTAAGAAGTGGCATGAGATTACGACATTCTTACCTCGGGAACTTTGCTTGCTAGAATGATGGAGACACAAATGATAAGTTTCTGGATTCTTTTGTTTCTAGCAATGGGAGCTCTTGAATTAAGAGGTGCAAGAACAGCGCTGCTTATATCCAGGTCAATGTCACTAATGCTCTTGAATTAAGAGGTGCAAGAACAGCGCTGCTCATACCCAGGTCAATGTCACTAATGCTCTAGATCCTACCGAGCTACTAGGAAATCGTAACAAGACTTCTCATCCTGAAGTTGTGGTCGACGACAACAAGAATAGATATGGTGGATACTATGGAGGAGGTGGCGGTGGAGATAAGTTTTCGATGTTGGGGGGACGTAGCAGTGGTAGATGGGGAGGCAGAGTTGTTGGTGGCGGTGGAGATAAGTTTTCGATGTGGGGGGGACGTAGCAGTGGTGGATGGGGAGGCAGAGTTGGTGGTGGCGGCCGGTATAAATGGGCTTGTTGTGGTGGGAAAGGGAGGGGAAGAGCACGGAGAAGCATGAACAACCCCCCAAAGCATAGGAGGGGAGTCTTCAGCGATGAGGACAACAGGGTTGGAGAGTTTGCGCAATGCATGGGAAGAGGACGGTGTAAACGATGAGGTTGGATTGCCCTCTTCACTGTGGTGGACCTTGCTTCTATGACTGCCATTCTGCCACCATATGTGCAAGGCTCGTTAGTTCCTATTTCTCTAGTTAACCCTACTTCTGGCCACTTATAATCATTAATTTTGCACATGCAAATCATAATGGTGACTTGATGAACTATCGCCTTCTATCTGTGAATAGATTGATCAGGTATTGATTGGCTGGGAGTTTCAGAGTTATCTATATGTATCTTGTACAACCAGCAAAAGCATCCGTTGTCGTCCAGCGGTTAGGATATCTGGCTTTCACCCAGGAGACCCGGGTTCGATTCCCGGCAACGGAATTTTGCACTAGCTGGCAGGAAAACCATTCTTTTGTCAAAGACATTAGATGGATACCATTAATTATGATTAACTAATGCTAAATCTAGCAAGAAAATTCTTATGTTAATACCACATAGTTAGAGTATGACCCAACAACTAATACTCATTAGTTATTGATCATGATATTAATGAAGCTTTCAACACATTAATTTAATATCATTCAAAATTAATAATCATACGTCTATGATTGACGTAAATTTAGCCTATCTGTCTAGGTATCTTTCTCCTTTTATTTCAATATTAATTTTGGATTTTTTTGATATTTTCATTTTTTATTTAGCCTATGGTTAATTAGGGCAAACTATTTAAACTCTTATTCCGGGATTTGAAACCTGTTATAAATTTCAAAAATATTATCGTGTTTTTTTAGGATTAAGGCAGGGCTCTTCGGGTATTAAAATCTGCTGACGTAATCCTATATGAAGATACAAGGCATTCTTGGAAATTACTTCACCATTATAATATCCATACTCCACTGGTGAGTTTTTGGCTTCCTGCCTTGCCGTTTTGGAGATTTGGTTTGTTGTTAATTGTGTGGTTTAGATTAGCAGCTGAGTTATCATAAATTTAATGAGTCTCAAAGAGAACAGACGGTGTTAAGGAGGATGAAACAGGGCGAGATTGTGGTGCTGCTGATCAGCGACGCAGGGACACCTGGCATTTGGGTCCTGATGCAGAGTTGGCAAGCATTTTGTAAGTTTTTTAAATAAATTTCAGCTCATAGGTTGAAAGAATCCGTTGTGCATGTTTGGTTGATAACATAGGGACGGTTTGGAGAAACCCATCTATAGTGAGTATCAGGAGAGTGATGTTGCGGTAAGATAAATGATTTCTTAGTATTGGTCATTGCGGTCAATGTAATTGCATTTCAGGGGACGTGTCATGGCTCGAGAAATGACAAAACACATGAAGACGGAGGTTTTTGTTCATTACTTTTTACACGGTTTATCCTGTTCATATAGTGTAAAAATTTGGATAATGATGCTAATTTTGGAAGTTTGAACTGTAAGTTGTATAATTTCCCCCAATTGCCATGAACAATAAATATCAGACCTCGAAAGATGATAATGCCTTATTAGTTACTTATCAGTTGAATTCCAATTTTTTGTCTCGTCCCTGTTCACTGATCAAGGTGAGTGTGCCTAATCAGTTTTTGTGGAGCACTCTGGTGGAGGCAAAAGAACGTTTTCTGAATCAACAACCTCAGGAGGAGATGACACTTCTAATTGAAGGCAGGACAGACTGTTCGGTTGAAACTCCGTCAGAAGTTCACCTTGAGCATGAATTGAGAGAATTGATCTCCTGTGGGCATACTCTATCTACGGTGATGACCTATTTGATCAGAGATTCAATGCATCAGTGTTGCTTATATTCATTCCCCACACAAATGCTTCTGAACTTGATGAACTAGTGAATTGTGACTGGTTTTATTTGGACAAAGCTGATACAAAAACAAATATTGTTGCTGATGTTGAAAGCTCGTAGCAGCAAAACCAAGATATGTTAATGGTAACATCAGTTTCATCGGCATGGTCTTTCTTTGTTCCGAAAAGCGTTGAAACAATTTTTGGGTCCCTTGTTATGACCATGTCATCATCCTTGATTACCATTTAAGAAATTATTTAGTACTTCAGGTGTATTGCTTCCTTGTTCATATAAAAATGGGACTCACCATGATAACTATTTTTGGGTCCCCTTTTTGTGTATGGCTAATAATCTCTCCTATCATATGCTCTTGCTCTGTTCTCCAACTGTAGTTATGATTCGCTTCGGTGTGCATGTGGGCAGTCGAATCGGTGGCTGAAGGAACGACTGCGAAGACAGAAAACAATATATTGGCTGGCATTGAAGAAATTTGGAAAGCAACTTGCATTGAAGAAATTTTGTCATCGCCTTATTCGCTTTTTGAGTAGGGATGCCAGTTCTAATCCACTTCTGCATTCTCCCCTTGCTTCCAGAAGTCATCAAGTGTACAATTATTGAAGCAAAGCGAAGAGAACGTTTTTTCCACGAAGAAGTTGAAAGCGGGCAAGGTGAACCATCCAGAGGTTACCGCCGGCATGCTATTAAGGTCCCAGGGCAAGTCGTCCTTTGTAGCCGAGAGGAATGAGGAAGCGATGAACGAGAACTTAAACATGAAGGCGCTCCCTTCATATTGGCCAACTTTTGAGCGACATTTCCTACTTATATCGGGTTTTTGGTCCACCTGCCAGCCTGTCTTGTATCATGGAATCGCTTTCATTGTTTACTATGCTTCGTTTTGGTGGGAGATGGTATGCCTTTTATAGGTTCACTACCAGCATGTCTTTTTATACACTTGTATAAAACTTGACCGATTGATCACCAAATTAATGGATTTGATCTCGTGGGATAATAGCCCGTAAGTCTATGGAGTGCTAGATTGAAAAAAAAAAAAAATGTTTTCCAATTTTCAATCACCGAAGAAAAATACTTCCTTCCTCCATTCACTCTTGATTAGGTTGATCGGTGCATGGTGCAACAATAACTTGTTTCTATCCTCACTCGTTTGTTGTACAGCAATAATCGAGTCATAAACTTCAATAAAACGAATAGAAGATTAGGAGAAAGCAAAACCGTGGAGAACATTCCTGTTCCTTTCACAGATTTATATGGATAACAAAATGATGATGGAACCTTTATCCAATACAAATTTGTCAAAGAACTAAAGGAAGATATCACTGGGTCAATAGGGTCACAGTGAAGTGGGCTGGATCACGGAACCGCAACCAGCTGTGAGCTTGGAAGCATAAGCTCCAGAGAAGAGGATCGACATCACCTAGAGCCGCTACCTAGCATGACGTGCTGTCCTTGATCCCTGGACCCAATCTTTACCAGCTCAAATCTCCAACCACAGATTTTCATTGCCTGGAATAACAAAGTATTCACCACCACCACCACCACCACTGTAAGAAAAACCCTCTTCGAAAATTCACAATATTCCTTTTCTTTTCTTGCTATATACTAAAATAAATTAAATCCAGACTACTGATACTGCTGAATGCTATTAATCCAGCGTCACTGATTAAACAAAACTATATTTACAAGATTATTAGCTTCTAGAGGTTAGTATACTATGTTGTGTAGCATTAGTAGACTATCGTGTGTCATGATCACCATGGGGACACCGTCCTGGTAGGAGGAGGAAAGGGGGGATTGAATATACGTTGGCCAGTTGCTAAAATATGCCGGGGATCAAATTCCATTTTCCTTCGAGAAAATTGGTCCCACTTATCTCCAAAGTGGTCCCTCCATTCCTCTTGTGTAGTATAGTGAGGTAAATACTGTTTCACCTTGATCCCCGCATCATCGCAGAATCTGAGGACCTTATGGTTCTGATTTGTCAAGTACTCCAAGGACTGAGTCTCTTCACCATTATCCAACGCTGATCTTAACAATGCCACCAGATAAAACACATCCTCATCTGGGGTCACAACTGAGCTCCTTTGGTCCCACCTACACAAGATCAAGAACACCAACACTAACGTTAAGAAAAGATCATTTGCATTTAGCAAACAAGAAATTATTCAAGATAGGGCATCAAAGTTGGATCTTTCTCGACCGAGAGAGTTCACAACGCAGGGATTCGATGGATTTGAAGAAACCAGTGGGACCTTTTCGGAACTCAATTGGACAATATACATAAACTTTATCTTGGTGCAAATATTGATGTCGATTAATCATGTTTTAGTTCTATTTGTTCATCAAAGGGCATGGTAGGAGTTTAGGAAATGGACATGATACCATCTTCTAATGGAGGACCCATGAAGTAGATCGCCTGACAGGAGAATCTGTCATTTGGATGACCACTACCGTCAATTTGTTGGTTTCCAGTCGACAAAAGAGAACAGTGTTTGTCAATCCTAGCTGGCCCTTAAATACAAAATATTTCATCTGTGGTGCTGGGCTCTTTTGCATGTGGGCCACGTGTATCCATAAGATTTAGAGTACCACCATTCTCATGGGTCCACCTGAATTTTTTCTCTGCATCTTTCCCTCCTCTTCGTCTTTCATTATCATACATATCATCTCTTTCAAGTCGTTAAGTAAGAACTCGTTTTATAATTAACTAACAACTTATTATAGGAAAAAGAAGGTATTATTGCAGACTGCAGCAATGCCTTGTATTATTGAAGGTTGATAGCTACCCCCCAACGTGAAGAGGTAATCTCTGGCTTAACTCTTGATACCATTATAACTTGTTTTGTTCCTGTATTATTGGCAGGCAAGAGGGTTCCAGGCATGCCTGCTTGTCTACAAAATTTAAATCTACGTATACATGTGTTCGAAGCGTATAAAAGTATATAAGTTATACGTGCAAGTGCTTAATTACGTGTACGGTTGGATGACAACAACATGGGGACACTTGATGAGAATTGAGAGCTAAACATTAATATCTCCATGTTGCATGCATGCAGTCTCAAGTGAAAAGGATAAAGATGAGATGGATGCATCATGCTTGTTACTATAAAGCAAGAATTACTTACTTGCTTTTGTTCATAGGGTAAATTAGAATGGGTCCACTTGTCTTGTTATTTCCTAAAATGCCCTTAAAGACACCCCTGTCGACGTCGGCCATCCTTGATTTGGGAACAAAAAGGTTGAGCCAAGGGTGGGGCACCTCCCAAAGACCCTTGGCTCTTAGCTTTAGCTCGGCCTTGTGGACACGATCCAAGAAATCAATATAGGGCAAATCTGTTGTGAAGACTGATGATGGTATAAAATTCAATCGTTTCATCAAAGCCTCCACTTCCTGCACACAGTGGAACCAACCACCAATTAATTGTAATTTGTTGGAGCCATTACAAGTAGACTAGAGAAATATAATCAACGTACACAACAAAAATTAAAGCTGCTGCTGCTAGACATAGCTGCTTTTGTCGGATAAGTTTGATTCCAATTAATTAATACTTAATAAACTCTAGAAAGGAGAGATTAATTAGAAGAGAATAATTTGGTGGGTGACCGGCTTATAGATTTAGTAATATTTGATGTTGTAAGAAGATAGAAAAGTAGTGTTCAGTCTTAGGATCGAATGGGACGATAGATTACGCTAGATCTCCCATGTTTTCTTGTATGTGTCTTGTAGTATTTTTATATTAGCTACCACGTATAAAAATATTTGCCAACTAATCACAATCATATAATCTAGGAATTGTGGGGAAACCTTGTGGGCAGCACATTGTTAAAAGTAGAGAAAAGGTGTGGGTACGTACAATACTACAAAATAGTAACAGCGATGATAGTAGAAGGTTCTAACTTATTGTAAAATTAAATAAAAATTAATTGGATTAGCGTGCATCTCGAAACAAATTTGAATGTGTACAGGCATTGGTAGTTTCACTGTTAAGAAACCTGGACAGTCTGATTAATTTACTTGTAACCTGGTTTATTAATTATGTTATGGACTCGGTTCATATGCATGGTTTTCGGCCAATTGCTCTAAAACAGCTCCATCGCAAGGTATTTGTCGATTGCACTCGGCAAATTTATTAATTATATAGGGTTGTCCAGCCAGTACCATCTTTGGAGAAAAACATTATAAATATTGCAATACTACATTATTATTCACATTTTCATCTCTTAATCATGCTATGCACTTAAATAATTCAGTCAGAGCCACTTGAGACGAGGTCAGGTGTCAAGGCAGGCAGCAGGACGACCGGATTATTAGTAAGTTCTTAATAATATTTTTACGAAAGAAGCCGTAGTTTTATAACCACTTTAGACAATTTACCATGG